ACTATTCTCCGATTCTAAATCACTAAAACCAGAGAATGATTCATCTTCTTAAGACTCGTCGACCAAAACATCATAATCTTGCAAAGTAACACGAACTTTGTGGTTGTGCAAGAAGTCGTGTTGAGTGTGGATGAGTAGGCAGTGGTGAGTCTGTAGGCCTCCTCACCCCTTGTGGTACCCTCATGTTCATTCTCACTGTCTGTGGTATCAACATCCTCAGGCTGTGTGTAGTCTTGATCTGTGTGGGAGTTGTCAATATCAGGTTCATCAACCTTGTCGAACAATTCAGTATGAATTTCTTCATCGGTCAATGACTGGGTGGTGCGGTGCACTGCGTGTGGTTGGACGCTGGGTTGTTGTGCACTCGCCATTGTGTCTGGTCATTAACTGAGGTCTCTAAGACAATGGCGGCCTACGCTACATTTTTTCCAAGATGATGTCTGTTTACAATCGCCCCTGGCTAGCATATGGGTGACCCCTTTATACCGCGGGACATTTAAATAGTGCGAGAGACCCTACATCGCCAATGTATGACAAGCGCATTGCGGTGCACATTACTCCCATTGCCTATGGGAGTTTTGAGCAGCTTAAAGGTTAAGAGTCATTAAAACATTATTTTGAGATGTTAACTCAAAATGTGTTATCTCTATTTAAATCATTCTGTTAAAATAATATATAGAGAAGCTGATTTATAGTCAATAAAATACAGTGTGAGAGTGATATTAGGCGGCTATGTCGTTCCAGACGTAAGCCAGCCTTTTCTCTCACTGTATCCAGTTATAAAATTAGTAGAGTATTGCCTCTTTAATATTACATTCTTATATTGTACATAGAAGCTATGGTGTAATGGTTGGTTCTGTTACCACCAAGGTCATTAATGATTAAATATAATGTGCATATGTGAAAATTTAATCAATGTCAAATAACATCCAATGGGATCTCATTAAGACCTTTTGCTTCATTTGCAATCCTTTTGTGCTACCGCTCACAGTATGAATGGGTGCGGTATTGGGTGCACAATAAAATAGCAGTTGCTAGTGGGAGTAGAGGCTGTAAGCCAACTGGACCAATTGCTTTAATTGGGCACCGCACCCAGGAGCCCCCTTGCTAGGGTAATCTACTCTCATTTTGTCAAGTAAAACTGCCTTCTATCAGAGCCAAACCTGCAAAGGATTGCCATAAACCAACACTAAATTGCAATCTAATGTGTGCTGAATTCTTGAACTGAATTGAACTTTAAGTTTACATTTATGCAAGAAAGTTAACTTTATAATAAAACCAGCATTGAATGCAAAGAAATGCCAGTTTCTGGGTGAGCCCCGGAGGCTCCCCTGAAGCTAGCTTACTGAATAAGTGCCACACTACTTTGAGTCATCAGTCGCAAAGTTCTTGTATGCCTCCCGGGGGACCATGCGCCAGTACCTAGACCCCTCACAGAGGTGCAGAGAGCATTGGCTTATGAACACTTTACATTTAAAGTTTATTATTTAGTCATCAATCAGGGAAGACAACCAGAAATGTAGGTAAATCAAAACAGATTACTGCCTGATTGAAAATGTGATCTACACCCTCAAAATATCAAAAAGAACTCCCCCAACAAAAAACAAACAAGCAAAACTTCCTCCAACTTATACCCTGCTCGTTAGCTCCACCCTGCCCCCCTTCCCCCCTTTGGGTGGAGAGCCGGGCTACCCACCCTCCAATTCTTGAATGATGAAAGCTGACGACTGGAGGGAGGAGGTCAAGAAACTAATCCAGGGCTCGCCCAGAAACTGTCATTTCATTACATTCAACACTGATTTTCTGAGGGAAGCCCCATCAGCTCCCTGAAGCTAACTACACACAAAGAAGGAAAACTGGGACTTACCACATGAGGCATCAGCACCGCAGGTATTAATCCAAAGAAGAGACCATCAGCCAAGACAGATGCCCCAAAGCATCACATGGCTGCAGAGGGCCAGAGACGTTCACTAGATACCTGCCAGCCAAGATCCTGTTAGTCCTCCAAAGCCCTCTTGTCTGAATATTGTCCTAAGACATGTTTCAAAACACGGCATACTTCTGAAATAGCGACACCAAAAAACCCTAAGAGACTACCACAGCAAACAAGCAGTCATAGAGAAGCCCCCCGGTACACCTGATGCTAGCTGAAAAGCTGGCTATGCTAGCTACAGTGCTAGCATAGCCAACAAACACTCTCCTACCCAGGGCAAGATGGAAAGCCCAAAGCCCACGACGCGCCCGAATGGTGTAGACCACCACAAGCGAGGATGTCTTCTAACGGGAAGTGAATCCCAAATGCCCCAGGGAAGGGAACCCTGACCGTGCAAGGGCAGTACTTATGGAGCACCTAGGGAAGGTGACTAAGTGCATGCAGCTCCAATGCTCAACACCTGGCCAATGCACACAGATAGTGTAGGAATAGCCTCACAAGACAAAACACACCAAAGCAGGAAACTGTGGTCAAGGCAACTGATGCCTGCCAGGCAAATCAGTAAAGAACTGACTGCTGGCAGGCCAGCTGCCCCTCTCCCTCTCACCCGGAGCTAACGAGCAAGGGGTTAGTTAGACGAAGTTTTGCTTGTTTGTTTTCTTGTTGGGGGGAGTCCTTTTGATATTTTGAGGATGTAGATCACATTTTCAACTAGGCAGAAGTCTGTTTTGATTCACCTACCTTTCTGGGTGCCTGCTTTCCCTGGTTGATGGCTAGCTGATAAACTTTAAATGTCAAGTGTTCATAAGTCATTGCTCCCTGTGCCTCTGTGAGGGGGAAAGGGGGGTTCTGGCTCGTGGTTCCCGGTAGGCATACAAAAACTCTGCGACTGATGACTCCAAGTGGTGTGGCACTTAAACAGTAAGCTAGCTTCAGGGAACTGATGGGACTACCCCACAGAAAAGTCAGTTTATAGAAAAAGAAAAAAAAAAAGATAATTTGTTTCTAACAATACTGTTCACTTACATTTTGAAAGTCTTCTTTAAACCAAAAATAAAATTAGTATTTTATATAAATCATTTAACTACAGCAGACCTTGCCTGTGAACCTGGCGACCCCACCAAAAATGTTGCCAATTGGGTCCTGTGGCTCCTAAGACTGACCCTAGCTGGTGTCAATAATGACAATGTTACACTTTCATTGGATGCGTATTAGGTGCACAATAAAGTAGCCACTGCTGGAGGAACTTAATAATAATCAAGCAAATGCAAGGTAACCTTTACATTATTTTTGCTGTTAAAATGTTTTATCATAAAATAACATTTGTGTGTGTTTGCTGGGAGACCAGTGTTTCATCTCAATATAACATACAACAGTCCATAGGCTGAGTGTTCATGCATCTAAAAATTGTCACAAATTTTCATTTATATGAAAATTACTTCCCATATCATACTATAAACTGCTGTTCTCTTAATTTTTTCTTGTTTTTACATTTCTATTTCTACTTGGTCATTTGTAGAAAGCTATCAAGATTGCTTTCAAATTTTCTACAAGATAATGTACTGTACTTTGAACTAAAACATATCATAAAAATCCTGGATAGACTGGATCATCATCACTTTCATTTTGTATGTGCAAGATCGGTTATTTGTTTCAGCCACATTATTGTGACTTATTCTCTGCATGCAAATATTGGCTCTTTATAAACATAGAGCAATTTAAATGTTGTCTACACGTCTATACTTGATATCACAACTGGGTAACTCGTCAACTGGAATTTTGTACATTTTTTAACTATATACAACCCACACTCTCAAATACTGTATTCATTAAAAGTGAATATACCCAACTACAGTACTGTATTTATAACCAAATATACCAAGTATACAGTACTATATCCAAATCTTGAGAAAATGAAAGATAAAACAAAAATCCCAATGAAAACAATTACAATGACAAAACTCATTGTGAAGAATAAAATAAATACACAGGTGTATGGAAAATTCAACAAAACCTTGTAACAATAGAATAAACTGGCAATTTCAATATAATACAATAATGAAGTTTCAAGTTTCAATATCATCAGTCAATGAAGCACCTTTTAAACACAGAATATTTCAATATTACATGTAAGTTAGGGGAATATATTTGATATACTATATATAGGTATGCAAAGAAGAAACATAGTCAGAAGAGGAGAATAAAAAAAAAGAGGTATTCCGAAGAAAATACTGAAGCCGTGCAATGCGACTGAACCAGCATTCCTCGCCTCCTTAGACACATGCACTACCGACTGGACCTTGATTTATTTATTTATGTATTTATTTCTTTATTTATACAAGCGTTCTTGCATTCTTGTAAAGCCATTAGCACACATAGCATTTTGGGCAGGTCCTTAATCCAAATTTTTCCCTGGAATACAAAAGTCAAATCATTTAAGAACCAGGTTCACATTCACTGCTGGGTGAACAGAGGATACAGTTAAGGATTGGCATCCAGTCAATCCTCCCTAGCCAGGATACGAACCTAGGCCAAAGCGCTTGCAAAGCGCCGGGTGAGTGTTTTACCACTGCATCATGGGGACTGCCAACATGATGGACTTAAAGCATCTTGACCAGAATGGGGCCAAGAGATAGGGAACATTACTACCGACTCCTGGGTGTGGGCAGGTATCTTGTAATACTCAAACTGTGGTAGTGGATGGGATGGTGCTTTCCAGACTTTATGTAAATCTAGTAATACTTTAGCTTGATATAATTCAAGCCCATTATGGTCCCAGTCAGTACAGCATGTGCCAGATGAGGTCTATAGAAGCAGAACCAATCCCATCGTATGGCTTCAATATTTACTAATAAATACATAATTTTTTTGTGATTTCACTGTGCTGGTATTATGAATCTTCGAAATGGAGTTCCTGGAAAATACGTACTAAGAAAGACAACAGAGGTGAATTTAGAAATTTGAAGAGATCCATGCAAAAATCAAGCATAAATTGGATGCAAGCATAAAAGCACCAAGCCAAATGATGGCACTCCAAGACACTTACGTCCACCTAGTCCCTGCTTACCCTGGGTGGAATATAGGTACGCCTTTTCTCTCTTCCTTGTCACTACCCAAGCTGGACTGTTTGCGGTAAAAAACAGAGTGCGCTACACGGTATCCCTCAAGGGAGCCCGGGGGGGTACCCAGCTCCGTAACATCCCGCACAGAGCTCGTGGAATCAGAAGGAGAGCGAGCGAAAAGCCCACTACTGAAGTCAACCAGGTATTTGGGCGAGCTGTAGTAACAAGATGGAAGTCCATGCTAGGCTATCCTGGGTTATCAGGCAGTTGCAAAATATGAAATGCCTTGTATGATTCATATCTGACTAGAATTGACTTTACAAATAATTGTTGATTTTACAGTACAGTACTTTTGAAACTCATCTTGTGCAGGTTTAAAAATAATTTATATTTAAAACTTAGATTATGTTACAGAATTATGAACTCTCATACAAGACATTATTTTCATTCAGAAATTGCTTAAAGCATGCAGAAGCCTACAATCCGCTTAAAACCAGGAGAATGAGGCTATGTTAGAAACTTTGTATACAAATAGCTTAGTCTAACCTTCAATAATGTAGAAAGTGTCTACTTGAAAACTTGTTATTGATAAATATCAAACAGACAGAAAGTCTACTTGACATATTGCACTAATATTATACACTAGCCATTTTATAACTGGGCCCGAGCGAAGAATGCCTTACTCTACTGCTACGATATTCAGGCAACATGAGGTCCCAATTCATATTTAACAAAAGCATTACAAATTAATAACAGTTATCATTAAACAAAACAATTAGTGGAAGAATAGTTTCTAATACAGATCATTAATAATGCATCTATTAAACACTATTGACATTTTTTTTAGAAAGAATTGAATTAAGCTAATCTATTTACCAATGATTTGTCTGTAATGGGAATCAGTTCCTGAGCCCATTATGTACCTCTGTAACCTTCTCCACTACCACCCACAGGATGGGTATGAGTTCCACTGCCACCTACAGGATGGGTATGGGGTTCACTACCACCCACAGGATGGATATGGGGTCCACTATCACCCACAGGATGGGTATGGGGTCCACTATCACCCACAGGATGAGTATGGGGGTCCACTATCACCCACAGGATGAGTATGGGGGTCCACTACCACCCACAGGATGAGTATGGGGTTCACTACCACCCCTAGGATGAGTATGGGGGTCCACTACCACCCACAGGATGAGTATGGGGGCCACTACCACCCACAGGATGAGTATGGGGGTTCACTACCACCCACAGGATGAGTATGGGGGTCCACTACCACCCACGGGATGAGTATGGGGGTCCACTACCACCCACAGGATGAGTATGGGTCCACTATCACCCACAGGATGAGTATGGGGTCCACTACCACCCACAGGCTGAGTATGGGGGTCCACTACCACCCACAGGATTAGTATGGGGTCCACTACCACCCACAGGATGAGTATGGGGTCCACTACCACCCACAGGATGAGTATGGGGGTCCACTACCACCCACAGGATTAGTATGGGGTCCACTACCACCCACAGGATGAGTATGGGGTCCACTACCACCCACAGGATGAGTATGGGGGTCCACTACCACCCACAGGATGAGTATGGGGTCCACTACCACTCATAGGATGATTATTGGGTGTATAGTAAATGAGCTAATATAACTAAACTGATCTGTTAAAGAATTCCTTAAAAGAAAGTAATTTTCAAAATATCAGCTTAATCAGTATTTTTCATTATAATGCAATCACTAACCTTGAAGCAAAAAAGAAAATAAGTTAGTGTATTATTAAAGATGATTGTTCCTGTGGCAGAGATTTATGGGTTAAGGTGATTAAAGTCTTCCCTGCATTTAGTCGTGTCTAAATATTGAGACTCAAATATTGATCTTTTATATATAACTGATGAAATTATTACCCAGTGGGCACAGTGTGTTCAAGTAATGTTAATAACATTTATTTTATGTTCATTTAACATTTGTCCAATGTCACAATCACCATTGATCAGATTTGTCAGGAAGGGGATTAGAGGGGGAATATCTTATTGTATATCATACAGAATTTAGTAAATTGGCTAAATATAAAACATTTGTCTTGCATAAACCAATCTACAAATTACTTATACCACTGACCCCTCTACCCCCCCCCCCCACCTCCCACGTCCTGCCTGGGGCAAATATAAGCAAACAGCGTTGATGCAACATTGAATCACTGTTGATAACGTTGACACTGATTTAACTTTACTTGACCATATTTTGCCCACTGGGATAAAACTTCACTGATGAGGGGATGTTTACAGGAAGAAGTTAGTAGCAACATATAGCAATAGCATCAATTGAACTCATAATATTCTCCAACTTGTACATTTTTCATTTAAGTATGTCCATTGAAAGCAATGCAGTTTACGAAAACTGGGAAATACCACTGCGGAGAATTAGAAGAGAGACTCATGAAGACACTAAAGTTTGGTGTAAGACTTTCATAATAAAGTCAATATTTTATTTTGTTACAAGAGGTGAAGGAATGTGAAGAATGATAACCAGGTAAATGTATTGGTTATGTCCAGTAAACAAGGAGGCTTGAACCATGTAAATGTATTAGTTATGTCCAGTAAAAAAAAAATGAGGCAGGAACCAGGTAAATGCATTGGTTATGTCCAGTAAACAAAGAGGTAGGAACCAGGTAAATGCATTGGTTATGTCCAGTAAACAAAGAGGTAGGAACCAGGTAAATGTATTGGTTATGCCCAGTAAACAAAGAGGTAGGGACCAGGTAAATGCATTGGTTATGTCCAGTAAACAAAGAGGTAGGAACCAGGTAAATGCATTGGTTATGTCCAGTAAACAAAGAGGCAGGAACCAGGTAAATGGATTAGTTAAGTCCAGTAAACAAAGAGGCAGGAACCAGGTAAATGCATTGGTTATGTCCAGTAAACAAAGAGGTAGGAACCAGGTAAATGTATTGGTTATGTCCAGTAAACAAAGAGGCAGGAACCAGGTAAATGTATTAGTTAAGTCCAGTAAACAAAGAGGCAGGAACCAGGTAAATGTGTTAGTTAAGTCCAGTAAACAAAGAGGCAGGAACCAGGTAAATGCATTGGTTATGTCCAGTAAACAAAGAGGCAGGAACCAGGTAAATGCATTGGTTATGTCCAGTAAACAAAGAGGTAGGAACCAGGTAAATGCATTGGTTATGTCCAGTAAACAAAGAGGTAGGAACCAGGTAAATGCATTGGTTATGTCCAGTAAACAAAGAAGCAGGAACCAGGTAAATGTATTGGTTATGCCCAGTAAACAAAGAGGCAGGAACCAGGTAAATGTATTGGTTATGCCCAGTAAACAGGTAAATTTTGTTTACTGGGGTAAATTTAAACTGCAGGTAAATTTTGCTTTATTTAGAACCTGTACTTGAGGTCGATCTCGAACCCATTGTTGATGTGACGACTTATAATGAATTTTGTAACTAGCTCATCAAGATTGTAACTTGCTTAGCTAAATGAATTGTGGGGTTCAATCCCTGAGCCCATTATGTGCCTCTGTAACCCTTTCCACTACCACCCACAACATGGATATGGGGTGCATAATAATTGAACTAAAATAACCAGTAAACAAAGAGGCAGGAACCAAGTAAATGTATTGGTTATGTCTAGTAAACAAAGAGGCAGGAACCAAGTAAATGTATTGGTTATGTCTAGTAAACAAAGAGGCAGGAACCAAGTAAATGTATTTGTTATGTCCAGTAAACAAAGAGGCAGGAACCAAGTAAATGTATTGGTTATGTCCAGTAAACAAAGAGGCAGGAACCAAGTAAATGTATTGGTTATGTCCAGTAAACAAAGAGGCAGGAACCAAGTAAATGTATTGGTCATGTCCAGTAAACAAAGAGGCAGGACCAGATAAATGTATTGGTTATGTCCAGTAAACAAAGAGGCAGGAACCATGTAAATGTATTATGTCCAAATACAATCATCCTGAACGCATTTCTCAATTGACATATGTCTCCTTGCTCATCCTCATCTACTTGCTCATACTTAAGAAGGCATATCTAATTCAAAGACAAGTCTTCCTTTTACTGGGAACAATTTAATTTATAAAATAATTATTTAGGAAAGAATACATCTAATAATCCAATGCATACATATGAACTGTAATAAAAGTGATGAAGTTTCAGTCTGTCCTGGACCCTGATCAAGTAGCAGTATAGCACAACTTAATAAGGGTCCAAGTCAGACTGAAATGTCTTTACTTTTATTTCCTTTCACATGTGTGGGTTGGGTTATTTGTTTCAGCCACATTAATGTCACTTACTGTCTGCTTAACCCTTATGCTGCTATGGGCATTAAGGACTTCAACATCGCCAGGTGCAAGAAAAAATAAATAAATAATTCTTTCTTCTTATAAGTGTTCATTTGTGTTCCCTGTCCATAGGAAAATAACAAAAAAATTGTAGGTGACATATTTTGGCCGCAATAAGCAAAATGTAGGCGTTGACAGAGCAAGCGTCGGAGGCGGTCAGCTGTCAGTCAGGTGTGTTCTCACCAACTTACACAAAAATATTATTACCTAATTATTTCAATGTCTCTGATTTTTTAATTAGTTTTTTTGTGGAAACATGTTTTGTTCACCATAACTGTACAACTAAGCTGGTATGGTGACCAAAGAGCATAGTGGGCACCCAACACAGCTTGACAAGTCATGCAGACGACGCCACCTCCCTCACCAAGATGGCTCTTTCCAACATACTTCCAACATACCCTTTGCTCTTATTACACTAATACACACGTTATATATAAGTATCTACATTTGTGTTCTCCATAGAGAGCCACTGAGCTGGTATGGTGAGTGCATACAATAACAGGTGGCCACACAGAATCAGCAGATGTTGCTGCCTCCCTCTCTCCCTCCCTCAGCATTACTCCTCCCACAATACTATGCACAGGACTAATTATCACAACAATCCTGTTATTATCAGAATCCTGGTCATTTTTATCAGTCAGGGGTCTTCTGTAATACTATCATTACTAAATAATACCAGTTACAAATATAGTTTGTAATTTTTCGGTGATGCTGTGGTCACAAGCTGAACAACAGTGCTGTTAGCTAATGCTGCGTGCACCAGCCTTGGTTGCTCACTCAGTACTTAGGCTCTCACACCCAAGGATGTTGCCCACGATATTTTTTTTAAATTGCATCTGTTTACAAGAGTTCTGAGGAAGCTGATGTGAACCCTGGGTAACCGTGGGACATTTAAATCGTGCGCTGGACCTCTCAATCGCCTATGTATGATGAGCGCATTGCGGTGGAGGTTACTCCCATTGCTTATGCGACTATTGAGCAGCTAAAGAGTTAAACAAATAAGTTTGGCCAATTGCATTTTGATATTATATATTTAAATATTAATTATAACTCTTAGAAGTCTTTCTTTCCTAAATTAAAACTGGAACATTCAGAATCATCACTTTTATTTAATTGAGTATATTTGGGGGTCACTTATATTTGTAACTTAAGTAAGATCAATTACAACAAAAGTAAAATACATTTGACTATACACTTGGTATATACTCTTATGTATATTTAAAAAAAAATTATTATTATTATTATTATTATTGTTATTATTATTATTATAAGATCAATATTTGAGGTTTATCAAGAAATGTTATTGATGTCCATTCCACTGTCATCCCAGTTACAATTCTATGCAGAAAATCTTAAAAAAATTGTCTAATATCAGAAAGAATAGCAACATTATTACTTCATGCTTATCAGATCTCAAAAAGTGCATCATTCAAAACTGTGCACATGTGGAGTCTAAAAAATCATTGAGTTTATAGGTGCAAAAAATCAAAATAAAAAAATTATAGGATCTGCTGACTTCTGCCTGCCTGACAGGCAGCTTCAACTTTTCTCACAGCAAAGGTCTCAAAATATTGACTGACAAAAAATAATATTCCTAAAAAGTAGATAAACTTGTTAGCAGCATATGTAACTGTTTTCAGATTAATAAAAATCAATAAATAGAGAATTAATAACCTGATAAAGGCTTACTGCCCTCAGCCAAAAACAGCAGATCCTTTTATGTTAAGAAGCAAAGCCCTTTTACGAAATGAGGCAGAAACTGGCCATAATCTATATATATTTAGGGTCTCACCTTGATAGCATGTTGGAGACATTGGACATACTGAATACATTGGAAAACATTCCTGCTCTGTTTCCATCGGGTCCTTCTGTGGCAATATTCATTCCGACTCCACTAACAGGTGGTGCAGAGGTTGGGTGAACACCTTGATGCTGGGCAATGCTCTCCTTGTCTGCATTAAAGCTTTCCATCCATGACAGTGGATAAGATAGGCGTTTCAGAACCTGTAAGATAATGCACAATGAAATCACAAGAACATGATGACTATAAACATATATATCGAAGCCATACAATGGGGTCGAACCTCGGTCCCCAAACTCCTCAGGCATATATGCTAAGCTGGGAGAAGGTGGTGGAGGCCAAACCGTCAGTAGTTTCAAAGCACCACATGACAAGGAGTACTGGGAAGATGGGACACCACGAGTGTAGTTCTCATCCAGTAACTACACTTAGGCAATAACATGCACTATCAGTAGTACATGTGCCTGATGAGCTTGGCCCCAATACTTGTTCTGTAAGATCATTTTGTTTTGTTTCTTTGAACTCATTGTAAAGAATTATCACAATCCACAGAGATAATTCTATCTGTACAAAGTCACACAAGCAATAAATTATTTTTGTATTTAAAAATCTTATAGTATGGGATCATCCCTCCTTCATAAAAAGATTATTGTTGGATCATCACAACCTCACAGAAGTTGTCATGGTGTACAAACTACACCAACATAACATATCTCTCTCTAAAGCACAGTAGCCTACATCCTTGGCTCACAACAGAGGAACCCAGGTTCAATCCCTGTGTGTGGGTAAGAATTATCTTGGTACTTTTTCTATCACCTGATGCCTCTGCTTACCTAGTAGTAAAACTGGTACCCAGGAGCAATGTAAATGTTGTGGGATGCATCTTTGGAAGGCAGGTAGTTGGCCTAGGGGTTGAGTGCCTATAAGCCTCAGTATAGGCTTCCTGTTCCCAACAATAACAATTATAAGTACAATACTGTACAATAGAACTTCAGTTTCTGAATGACCCTGTTCTCAAATTTTTCAGTTCTCGAGCTCAAGTTCTTCGCAAAATTCAACTCAGTACTTGAGGTTTGCCTCAAGTACAAGTTTCTCAAGTGTGATACAAGTATGGGCTGACTAAGCGAGTGGTGCAATTCAGTTTACCAGTGTCTCCTGCTTAGTGATGACTGCACTAGAATTCATTGTGAGGAATTTCACTGTATTTGTGCTTTTTTGGTTTCTGAACATAAAATTTCTTATTATATATCTCGCCATAGGTTCCAAGAAAGTCAGTGGTAAAGTTCAATCTAAGAAAATAGTTGTGAGGATGACGATATAGGAAAAAACCAGCGTTGAATGTAATGAAACGCCATTTTCTGGGTGAGTCCCGGAGGCTCCTCGGAGCTATCCAGGCTGAATGGATATGTATAACTTTCTGGCATCAGTCAATGCATGGAGTTCTTGCCTACCGGGGACCACGAGCCAGAACCTGGCCCCCTCTAGAGAGGCACGAGGAGCAATGGCCTATAGAGACCCCCCTTATGATTGGAAGCATTCTATGTCTGCCATTGACCGGGATAGGCACCCAGAAAGGTAGGTGCTCCAAAACAAACCCCCTATTCTGGTAAACTATTGCGACCGAAGATCGAACAGGTGGACAGAACTCCCCAAACAAAAATTAGTAAATAAGCATGACGTCATCATGTCGCCGCGCCACTGTCTGCGCAACCCCCCCCCCCCTCCTTGGAAGGGGGAAGGGGGAAACCCCAAACCCCACCGTCAGCGACCCAACCATTAGTTCTTAGGCTGGATGTCAAAACGCGAAAACACCGCCGACCGGAGGGAGGGAGGGATGCCGGGGAGCCTCCGGGACTCACCCAGAAAATGGCGTTTCATTACATTCAATGCTGGTTTTCTGGGGGGGAGCCCCGCCGGCTCCCCAGAGCTAACTACCCAAAGATAAGGAAAAAACAGAGACTTATTCGGGCGGAAGTCCGTCCTCACTCCTCAATGCGAAGTTGAGACAACTGGCTGCAACCGTCGACCCAAAGCAATGCAGGCCCGACCAGGCCCAGGAACATTCACCAGGTAGCGAGCGGCCAGGACCCTGTTCGATCTCCAAAAACCCCGGGCCCGAATGTCTACCCAAGACATGTTGCCAAAGACAGCAGCCAAAGCAGCAAATTTACGAACGTCGTGGGCCCGGGGAAAACCGCAGGCTGGCTACACTTAATAACCCTGTGGACAACCTGAGAGACCTGAGCCTGGGAACAGGGAAGAAGGGAAACTGGATCAACCCAGAGCGCATCCCCAGCAACAGAAGCCGTGGTGCGCAAATAACGGTGGAGAGCCGCAACCGGACACAACACATGATGCACCGCTGGCCTGACCAACCAAGCATCAACAACCCACGGCCCCTTCCAGAACACAGCCGTCTCATTCTTCGCCAGAAAAGAGGGAGATGGCAGCAAGCGAACAAAACGACCACCAGGACCGAAAGAGCAGAAACCTCGGCGCCGGAGGAGAGCATGAAGCTCGCCAACCCGACACCCCGAGGCCAATGTCAACAGTAAAAGAGCCTTAGAAAAACAATCCCGAATGGAAGAGGCCACAACAAACCGAGGAAAAGAGAGAAACGAGAGCACGCGGTCCAAGGACCAAGATGGCTCAGGCTGTGCATGAACAGGCTGGAGGTGAAACAACACACGAGACAACTGTAAAACGGGGCAGAAGTAACATCAACACCGAAAGCAAGCTGAAGCAACTCTGCCAATGCCACATGATACGAAGCGACAGTATTCGGCATAAGATGACGGTCCTGAAACAACCAAGAGAGAAAGGACAGAACAACCCTATCAGAGACCGAAGAACACCAACGCAGTGATAGGAAAAACCGGAAGGACCGCCAGGAAACCTCATACTGCCACTGAGACGGAGCACGCAGCTGGGAGACCAACAACGAAGCCACCTGCGCACCATACAAGGAATGATAAACCCGAGTCAAAAACACCAGATGTGAAGATTCGAGGAGAAGACTGAACCAGCCTTGTACAGGGCCGATCTGCTGAAAGAGGCGGAGCTGCGGGAAGACCTTCGGGTTCGAACACCGAGCAAGCAGCGCCTGAAACCAAGGCTGGGCCGGCCACCAAGGAGCCAGAAGGACAACTCGACCTCGGTAAATCTCCAAGTGAGTCAGGACCTGGAGCAACAGCGGAACTGGGGAAGAGGTACAGGTAACTCCACCTTGCCCAGTCCTGCCTGAAGGCGTCGACCCTGACATTCTTGCAGGCGGGGAAGGGCGTCACGTATACCAGGAGATGCCTTGACCACGCCGACGCGAAGAGGTCCACGTCCAGAGTCCCGAACATCCGGCACAGCCAACTGAAGGAGTTGACATCGACCGTCCATTCCGTGGAAAGGGAAAGGAACTGGGACAGGCCGTCCCCAGGACATTGAACGCCCCCCAGACATGAACCGCCAGGAGAGCCAAACCCTGAGAACTCAGCAGACAAAGCGACCAGCCCCAAAGATCCAAGGACCACATCGAACCCCCACAGTTCAAGCAATGAACAACCAGGGAGCAGTCCGAATGGAGCCTGATCGTCGATCCGCGAACGACTCAAATCCTCCGAAGTGACATCCACACCACCGCGAACTCCCGGACCGTGGTGTGAACCCGACGGAAGGACGGACCCCACCGCCCCTGGCCGGCCTGGTGAGCACTGGTCACAAAACCCCAGCCAAGAGACGATGCATCTATGTACACATCGAGCGAGGGCTTGGGAAGGCGCCAAGGCACCGAACCTTGAAAAACACGAAGAGGAAGCCGGCAATGCAGCAACCGACGCAAAGCTCCTAGAGGCCGAACCCAATGATTGCGAGAGAGGCGGAAGGGCCGGTGACCTGGGAAAGAACCAAATCCCTGGCGAGCAGATACACGGACCGGCTGAGAGCCCAAACCAGCAAGTCGTCAAGATAGGCCAGCACCCGAACACCTAGCAGACGCAGGCGGGTCACCACGACCTGAATAAGGTGTGTGAAAACGCGAGGTGCCAGATTCAACCTGAAGGGAAGACAACGAAAGCGGTAACCCTGACGCCCCACAACAAAACCGAGCCAGTCCCTGAACCCCGGATGAACCAGGAGGTGCCAATATGCGTCCTTGAGGTCCAGGGACACTATCCAAGTGCCCCCCTCCAAAAGAAGACGGACTTGGGACAGCGTAGTCATCCGAAAGGAGGGGCACAAAACCCACAGGTTCAGACGGGACAAGTCCAGAATGAACTGGAAGTCTGCGCAGTCCCGTTTCGGGACTGAAAACAGGTGGGAAACCCACCTGAGGGATGACGTCAGTTCAACCACGCCCAAGCAAACCCGCTCCGAGATGACCCGACAGAGCGCAGGAGAAGAGGCCTGCCCCGCCAGCCCCGAACCCCCCCGAGGGAGGAAGAGCCACCCAATGTCACCACAGGCTGCACGAAATGACCCGAAAAGCTCACGAATCGTGGGGCCAGGCATGAGCAAACTGGGCGAGCCACTCCCCCATCTCCCCATCAATGGGGCGAACCATAATTACCTAAGTGTAATTACCTAAGTGTAGTTACAGGATGAGAGTTACACTCGTGGTGTCCCGTCTTCCCAGCACTCTTTGTCATATAACGTTTTAAAACTACTGACGGTCTTGGCCTCCACCACCTTCTCACCTAACTTGTTCGAACCGTCTACCACTCTGTTTGCGAAATTGAATTTTCTTATATTTCTTCGGCATCTGTGTTTAGCTAATTTAAATCTATGACCTCTTGTTCTTTAAGTTCCAGGTCTCAGGAAATCTTCCCTATCAATTTTATCAATTCCTGTTACTATTTTGTATGTAGTGATCATATCACCTCTTTTTCTTCTGTCTTCTAGTTTTGGCATGTTTAATGCCTCTAACCTCTCCTCGTAGCTCTTGCCCTTCAGTTCTGGGAGCCCGAAAGGGCCGACGTGCCTTGCGAGTACCTGAGTGGCGAACAGGACGGTCCCCATGGCGACGAGCAACAGCTGAAACTGAAGGTGCCGCCAGCCTTGAATTCGGCACCATAGGCCTATCCTGACGAAAAGACCCCCGAGCCCTGGCACGACCCTTCCGGGAAGGCCCGTGCAAGCCCCCCGGAGCAACAACAACTCAGACATAAGCCGACAACTGACCGAAGCCGCCTGCAGCTTCTACACCACACCAGACTCTGCAAACAGCAATGGACAAAAGGGTGAAGACAACCAACGAGCCAGGGCCCAGGCAGACTCCAAGGAAGAAGCCAGCACCACCTGACGACACGTGAGGCGAGAAGCATAGAACCGCGAAACCACATCACGCAGGATGGGTGCGAAGAGCTTCAACAAAGCAGACGATGCCCGCACCGCAGAGGGCAGCGTACAGGACCCGGCAGCGGCCCCAAGCATTCCCACATTGGGAGCCAATCCGAGGACAGCTCAAGGAGGGAAAAGGAATGCAGAGCCGAAGCAAGCAGACCACGAGTCCGCAAATCCTCCGCAACCAAGGCAGTCAAGAGAGAAGGAACCTGCATGTGAAGCTGCATGACACCAACATCCCGTGGAAGGGCAGGGGCGAACAAACAAGCATTAAGATGCTCAAAGTCGCCCCCTAGGAAAACCTGCAACGCCGTAGAAACCTCTTGCCATTCAAGCGTGCGGGACCGACAGAACGAGTGCCAAGCCTCCAATGAAAAGAGAGGACAGTCTGCCAACCAGGATGACTCTGGAACTTCATAAGGAAACCAGCACGAACCAGGGGATCCGTACACGAAGGAACGCGGATCCATCATGAAGGCATAATCCGGGTCACGCAGGAGGTAGGCCACCAAGGCCTCCCGCACCTCCGAAGACGAAACACGGGAAGCCAGAAACCTCCAGAAAGACAGAACTGAAGAACCCACGGGATCACAGAACCAAACCCGGGGAGGGGTGGACACCAAATCTAATTCGTACGCGGAGGGAGCGAAAGAGAACCCCTCTCCTTATAACACCAAGCCCCACTCAGAGGGTAGAAAAACCCAGCTGGGGTCCAATGGGGCCCAAGGCCCCAAGCCAACCCCTCCCCAACCCCCAGGAACCTCTCCCAGAAGGCCTGGGGCCGAGCCATCCTCCTGAGCCCCCACTCCCAAAGAAAAGGTGGGAGCAGCCGAAAAAGCAGGAACAAAGGGGGTCCACTGGCCAGACCCAGAAGCTCTGGCAGAAGGACCAGGCTCAAATGCCTCCGCCACCGCCCCAGAAGGGAACACCCCTGAGACCCCCCCGAGTCTCACAACCAACTATACCCAGCCCTGGCTCCGAAACCCTCAGACGTTTAGGAGCTGGCAGCAAGGAGGGGGGGGGAACCGAATGGGCAACAGAAGGGGGAAGGACTTGGAGGGGCGGACAGAACCAGAGCCGAAGCGACACCCACCTCCAAGTCCGGGTCCCTATAACCAAAACGGGGCAGTCTTGGGGCATCCAGGGCAGCAACCAACCTAGCGCGTTGCAGCAACCTAAAGCGAGAATGTAACGCCTCAGTTGCCCTCACCCGCACATCAGGCACAGTAGCTTGAGTGAGTTAGAGTATGTACAGACAACACACGTTGCACGACTCCGGGTCAAAACAATCACCGATCCAACAGGCAGCATGGCGGAGGCAAAACCGGTGAGTGTCCCCCTGAGACAAGGGGACAAAGCAACCTTCAAACTCGCAGGATGCGAGGGGGGACACAGGGGTCACATCCATCGGACCACGTAGCTCCCATAGGGTTTTCCAGGGCCCTTAGCCTTGGGTACACGCTAAGGGGAGCCCAGGCAGAGTACTGCAAACCGGCATCCAAAACTACCAAACAAACTGCTATAGCTGAATCCCCGGGACGTGTACACTCACGGGGGCCAAGCGGAGAGGACCACCAACACAAAATGGAGAAATAAAGATATAGATATACCCCAAGAACAGTGATGGGGGACCAACAGGCAGACCGCCCCCCCCCCCCACCAGGCAGAAAACGAAAACAAAAGAAAAACCCCACAAGAGGACAACGTACCCGGGCAGAACAGAGCCGGCCGCTGTTAATGGTGAAAACTAGCTGTGCAGCACCCCGCACCCCTGCCAGTGACGAAAACTACCCCTACCCAGAGACAAACAAGGGCAAGAAAAAACCCCAGCTGACCCCAAGGGTGGCCAGGTACTAAGCAGTACACGGCACAGTGGAGGTAGACCCCAAGGTGACCCAGGGAAGGTTACCCTAAGCTCCAAGGGCAGTACTTACAGGGCACCTAGGGAAGGTGACCCTAGGCGCATGCAGCTCAAGCACCGTGGTATATCACTCCTGGCCCACACACCACCGGAAGGGACAGCTCACACCACATGGCACAGAACTGCAACGGAAAACTGGAGCCAGAGGCAGGACCGCACCAGTACCCATCAGCCTAAGAACTAATGGTTGGGTCGCCAACAGTGGGGTCTGGGGCTCCCCCCTTCCCTCTCCTGGAGAGGAGGGGGGGGGGGTTGTGCAGACAGCAGCGCGGCGACATGATGACGTCATGCTTGTTTGCTAATTTTCGTTTGGGGAGTTCTGTCCACCTTACAGTCTTCGGTTGCAATAGTTTACCAGAATAGGGGTTTGTTTTGGGCGCCTACCTTTCTGGGTGCCTATCCCGGTCGATGGCAGACATAGAATGCTCCCTATCATAAGGGGGGGGCTCTATAGGCCATTGCTCCTTGTGCCTCTGTAGAGGGGGGCCAGGTTCTGGCTCGTGGTCCCTGGTAGGCAAGAACTCCATGTATTGACTGATGCCAGAAAGTTACGCATATCCATTCAGCCTGGAGAGCTCCGGGGAGCCGTCAGGGCTCCCCCCAGAAACTAGAGATCATTTATAGTGGAAAAATGTGATGTCTCACTACAGGCAAGTGTTAAAATGTAGGGAAAAACAAGTGTCTATAGACAGGGTCTTAGTAAGACAAGTAAGCAGTGAGCCACAATCAGGTCCTAGTGGTATGCAGGCAAAACATAGGAGAGAGAGTACCCCAGAAATGTCATCACTGCCTGATGTTATGATGAAAGGGAACTCCCCTTCCAAACACTAACACCTCTCCTCCTTCCCCCGTCCTCACTATCTTCCATACGCCAACAAGAGTCCTCCATAAAGGTAAGGTATAGTAAAAAAATATGAGTAGTATTCTGTATAAAATGTATTTTTAAGTTAATATTTTTGGATGTGTGGAACGGATTAATTTGATTTACTTAATTTTACTTTACTTACTTTACTTATATTACTTTATTTCTTATGAGAAAATTCGTTTCGGTTTACGCATTTTTGGTGTACGAACCTTCTCTTGAAATGAATTAAATTTGTAAGCCAAGGTGCCACTGTACTTTACTGGCACAGGTAATATTTTGTTGAAATGTAAGAAAGCAATGTTTGGGACTCACCTTTTGCTTCCTTGACTCTTGCAGACTGGCTTCACTTCCAAGGTCTGGCATGGCCTCTTCTTCCCCTGTTATGTCAAAAGTTACGGAGGTGGTCCTCTTCTTATCGTTGCAAGTGGAATCCTCTTCCATTTGATGGGCCGCAGAGGTCCAATCAGTTTGAGCAAGGTCCTGAGCAGCTGTATTATTATTACACTGTGTTTGAGCAACGTTAGGGGGCATGGCCTGGGAGTCCTCTAGACGACTCGCCTCTGCTATTGGTGTGAGGTCTCCAGCAACGGGTAGTGTCTGTTGCTGGTGGCCACTAGGGGAAGGTTGTCCGGATGAAGGCTGACCGTCACCACTAGCAGGAGATACATCTGAGCCAATAGGTGTAAGAAGTTCATGCTCAAAGGCTTTTGGAAAGGCTGAACTTTCACGTGTGTCTCCCCCACATGAGCAAGATGAATCATTATCATCTTGGGAAGCTGCTAATTCAGGAAAAGTTGCGTCTTTACTGAGTGATGCATCCTTTCCAGGTGACTCTTGACTCCCTGTTTGTTCCATGTGGTTTGGACCCCAGTAGATCTCTGGCTTTGGAATTTCAGGCCTTTGTAGACATGTGAAAAATTAAAATAAATTTAATTAATCAAGAAGATTGTGACAATATTGGCAACATTTATATTACTTGTAAACTAATAAAAATGGTACAGTACAGTATATAGAAAGTATTAAGAATTCAGGTACTATTCTGGTATTAATTTTAATGACATGTTGCTTAAACTGTTTTGCACTCACTTGGGTAAACTGGTATCCTTGACTCGCATATGGGCAATGTCATAATAGAGTGCCGCATTCACAACAAACTCCATGGGAGCAATAACGCCATAACTCTCGGGGCCGTGTTCAATAACCAGAGGGTCTGATACGTTAGGATCAAACATCACTGCATTCGGAGTCACCAACAGCACACCTGCCACGACTCCCTACAGGGGAAATACAAAATTACTGATGGAAAACATAAAAATGCCACTTAATGTATGTTATGTACACTTTTAACACTCAATAATGATAGTAACAGTAATACTAATTATAATAATAAATGAAATGCCAATTTCTGAGTGAGCTCTGATTTCCCCCCTGGAACTACTGTCTCTAATAGTGTGCCATACTACTAGGTCATATCAGTCACAGAGTGGCATGACTTACCCGGGACCAAGAGCCAGAACCTGGACCCCCCTCAAAAGAGGTGCAGGGAGCAATGGCATTTATATATTACTATTTTTTATGCCACCACCAAGGAAGGCACCCAGAAAGTAAGTGAAACAAAACAAATTGCTGCTGGCATTAAACAAAGCAGCAGCCTCAAAAGTGGCTATGGAACTCCCACAATAATGTAAATAAATGATAAAAATTTCATGAAACTAGCACCAGCTCGTTCTCTTCCCATCTCCCCATTTGAGGAAAGGAGAGAGACAGGCCATAGTCAGCCAGCAGCTCTACTGCCAGTTTGACAAATGATGCATAAAACCTCCAATGACCTGGAGGCAGGAAGAGTGTCAGGGAGCCACCGGGCTCACCCAGAAATTGGTGTTTCATTACATTCAATGCTGGTTTTCTGCAGGGAGCTCCTTGTGGCTCTTTGAAGCTAACCACCCATGGAGAAGGAAAAGAACATGGGCACTTATAAGGAAGGAGGAATCACTGTAGTAGTTGGGATGAAGTAAAGACTCCCGGCGTGAAAGCCGACCCCCCAAGGTCACACAAGGGTTCTGCAGTTTGGACACATTAACATGATACCAGGCCACTAGAACCCTGTTCGACTGCCAAAGCCCCACAACTGAATATCAGCACAGGACATATTTGCAAAGACAGCTGAGAGCATGGCATATTTCCAAATGTTATGGGAACGAGGGTAAACTGCCAATCGGTCCTCTTACAAATTACGCCTGAATTTGGCTGTTTGCCCGTATGGCTGAAAATGGGCATAATTTGAAAATGAAAAATAATTGAAAATAAATTTTGATTTTTTTTTTTCCAAAATAGCATGTTAAAGGTCCTGTGGTAGGTTAGGAGGGCAAAAAGTTCTGCTAAGGTTTCAAAACATCATGAAAACCGTTAATTGAAAGTTTCCTCTCCTAATCTAACCAAGTAAGCCACAGGACACAAAACAGAAAACAGGACAGTACGTCACTTTCGTGAGCCGATTTCATTTCAAATTACTGTACTGTACATCCATTTTTGGCCATACGAGCAAACGAGGGAAGAGCGACGTAATTTTAAGAGGACGAGTTGAGACCGCACGCTGGCTAGACTTAATTACACTGAGTTATAGAAACCAAGAAGCTGTTTATACAGCTTTCCCCCATAAGCTGTATAAACAAGCACATAAACAACCATGGTAAGCTGAATAAGCAAGTGCATGAATTCCAGTGCACTCCAGCACAACTAACAGAATGCCCCCCAGCCAAGGGCCTGAACAGAGGTGTCAAAGACCCTTGAACAGCCCACAGCAAGGCTGTTTACCTCAGTGGCCTGGCCTCTCAGGGAAGAACTCCTGAATACACCAGAGAAGAAACTGTTAGTGCAAGGGCCATGCTAGCAATCATCCAGGAGGAAAAACCTGAGGGGATACACACAGAATCCTAAGTATTGTAGTACAGGTTGATGGTAGTGAGTGGTGTCCCAGAGAACATAAAGGTATAGTGCTCTTGAAAAATAGGCGAGATAACAGGAAAGTGCTAAGGGAAGTGAAAAATCGGATGAGAAAAAGTTGCCCTAGTGTTTACAGTGCAGAGAAGAACATTCAAGATATCCACTGGCAAGGGGAAAAACAAAACAGAGCTTGATTTTGAGGGATTCAATGAAGAAAGCATTGATATTAGCAATCTACATAACAAGTTGGTAAATTTAGATACTATAGTGAACTCTCATGTAGAAATAATTAGTAAATTGAAAGAAAGTAATGACCATTTGAATAGCAAAGTTTTATGTCTTGAGGGTTTAGTGAAAGACTTGCGCAAGGATAAGAATCAATTGGAAACAAATTGCAAAGCCATGGAAGAAGAAAATAAACTCTTAAAAATAGCTTTGGAAGAAGTTAAAGTAAATTTAAACATAAATGACTACAATAGGTTAGGCAAGGAAATTCAACAGGAGAAACAGCTTTTGTCAGCACAGATGGAGGAAGTTACACAGGGAATAGAACAGTGCAAGAAAGATATGCAACTCACTTATGCACAAGTGGCTAAGGAGAAGGAAAAAATAGAAGAAGCAGTAAAGGAAGTCAAACACTGCAGCAACCAAGATAAAACAAACATTAGGCTGGAAGTGAGAAAAGAATTGGCATCTAACCCGAAGTTGGTGCAAAACACAGTTGATCGGAGTAAGTCCCTGATCATTTTTGGCAAAGAAAAGGCGATAACATCTAGGTCAGAAAGAGCTGTAGAAGAAGCTAAAGTAGTAGATAAAATTGTTGGCCTCGTGGAAGGTCTTACAACCATAGAGAATGTGTGCGACTATAGGAGAATAGGCAGGTACGTAAAAGGGAAAGATTGACCTTTGAGGATCACCCTAAACGGTGCCAAACAGATGGAAGAAGTACTAAGGAATGCTAGAAAATTGCAAAGTGATGAGGATGGGAAAGGGTGGTCGTTAAGACGAGATCTTTCAAAAGAAGATAGAGAGAAGCTGAAACTGAACCTCGCCGAGGCAAAACATTTAAATGAGAACAGGAATGAAGAAGAAATAAATTCTTTTTTCTACAAAGTGATAGGGGTAGGCAAACCAGTAAAGTGGTACATAAAGGCAAACCAACAAAATCAATAGAGAGAGGGGGAGTGAAGAATAAGGAGAGGGGAAACAAGTTCCTGAAGCTTGCATACACCAACATAGATGGAGTGAGATCGAAGATACTGGAGTTAAGTGATGTAATACAGCTACAGACACCAGACATTGTTGCACTCACGGAGACAAAACTTGAAGATGTAATTTTAAATGAGGTCATATTCCCAAGGGGCTACTCAATTTGGAGACGGGACAGAAAAATCAGGAAAGGCGGTGGCGTTGCTGTGCTGGTAAAAGAACACCTAAAGGTGAACGAAATAATGACTGCCAATCCACAAGAAGTTAACATAATAGCACTAGAGATCTGCCATGAGGATGATAAACTAATGATAATAAATGCATATAGTCCACCGCCAAGCAGCACATGGTCAAAGGAGGAGCTAGATAGTAAACGTGAAGGTCTTATAACAATAATGAGAGAGATTATAGCGAGAGCGGATAACGATAGATCACGACTGTTGATAGTCGGTGACTTCAACTTGAAATCCATAGACTGGGAAGCATATGAAGCTAAAACAGAAGATTTTTGGACCTGTAAATTTGTAGACCTCATCCTGGAAACATTCTTGTATCAACATGTTAAACAAGCTACGAGGATGAGGGAAGGGGACGTTTCCTCCATGCTAGATTTGATATTTACCAGGAAGGAGGAAGAGATATTTGACATTCAGTACCTTCCTCCCTTGGGTAAAAGTGACCATGTCTTTTTGGGAATAAAGTATGCAATGCGTTATAAGCTGGAAGAAAATAAGGAGGTTGAAGCAGTTGAAAAACCAGACTTCAGGAGAGGACATTATGGTGACCTTAGAAATTTTTTTAGTGAGTATAATTGGACAGACTTGATGCTAAGCAAGGAAGTGAATGAGATGTATGTCAAGTTTTGTGAAATATATGATAAAGGCACAAAAAAATTTATACCAAAACAGAGATGCAGAACTAGGAAACAGGATTGGTTCAATAGAAATTGCGAGAGGGCTAGAGACCAAAAGACACAAAAATGGAATCAATACAGGAAGAGGCCGAACCCCCAAACATACCAGCAATACAAAGATGCGAGAAACAACTACACGGCAGTGAGGAGAGAGGCAGAAAGAAATTTTGAAAAAGGGATTGCAGAGAAATGTAAAACAGAACCAGGTCTATTCTATAAATTCATAAACAACAAATTGCAGGTAAAGGATAATATTCAGAGGTTGAAAATGGGAAATAGATTCACGGAAGATGAAAAGGAAATGTGTGAAACACTAAACGAAAAGTTCCAAAGTGTGTTTGTACAAAATGAAATCTTTAGGGAACCAGATACAATAAGAATTCCAGAGAACAACATAGAGCACATAGAGGTGACTAGAGACGAAGTGGAAGAAATGCTCAAGGAGCTCGGTAAGAACAAAGCAGCTGGCCCAGATGGCGTTTCACCATGGGTTCTGAGAGAATGTGCATCTGAGCTCAGCATTCCACTTCACCTGATCTTTCAGGCATCCCTTTGTACAGGAATCGTAGCAGACGTGTGGAAACAGGCTAACATAGTTCCAATCTACAAAAGTGGCAGCAGGGAAGACCCAATCAATTATAGACCTGTATCATTGACAAGTGTAATAGTGAAAGTATTGGAAAAACTAATCATAACTAAATGGGTAGAACACCTAGAGAGAAATGATATAATATCAGACAGACAGTATGGTTTTCGATCTGGAAGATCCTGTGTATCGAATTTACTCAGTTTCTATGATCGAGCCACAGAGATATTACAGGAAAGAGATGGTTGGGTTGACTGCATCTATCTGGACCTAAAAAAGGCTTTCGACAGAGTTCCACATAAGAGGTTGTTCTGGAAACTGGAAAATATTGGAGGGGTGACAGGTAAGCTTCTATCATGGATGAAAAATTTTCTGACTGATAGAAAAATGAGGGCAGTAATCAGAGGCAATGTATCGGAATGGAGAAATGTCACAAGTGGAGTACCACAGGGTTCAGTTCTTGCACCAGTGATGTTTATTGTGTACATAAATGATCTACCAGTTGGTATACAGAATTATATGAACATGTTTGCTGATGATGCTAAGATAATAGGAAGGATAAGAAATTTAGATGATTGTCATGCCCTTCAAGAAGACCTGGACAAAATAAGTAGATGGAGCACCACTTGGCAAATGGAATTTAATGTTAATAAATGTCATGTTATGGAATGTGGAATAGGAGAACATAGACTCCACACAACCTATATATTATGTGAGAAATCTTTAAAGAATTCTGATAAAGAAAGAGATCTAGGGGTGGTTCTAGATAGAAAACTATCACCTGTGGACCACATAAAGAATATTGTGCAAGGAGCCTATGCTATGCTTTCTAACTTCAGAATTGCATTTAAATACTTGGATGGCAATATACTAAAGAAATTGTTCATGACTTTTGTTAGGCCAAAGCTAGAATATGCAGCTGTTGTGTGGTGCCCATATCTTAACACTTTCGCGCTTTAGATTAGAGATAACTCGTCGCCGTTTTTTCTTATGATTCCGCATAACAGCCTACTTTTCTCGTCCATCGAAAAAATATTTCTATAAATTCCATTTTTTAACCGAAATGGATGGGGATACTTTTGTTTTGTAGAGAATTTATTTGCAAATTTTTTGGTACCAGAATGAATATTATATCACATAAACTTCTATGAGTAAAAAAAAAAATACACAAAGTATGTTTGGGGGTGTGGCGAGCGTGTGGCAGTGGGTTCCCTTTAGCCATTGATATATCCAACACGTGGGAAATATTTGTATGTGTTATGTATATGTCTGTGTAGGGAATTTTACTGCGATCACTGTCATACAAATTATAAAATGTTTCAACAAGTATAAACATGACAAACATCAAACGAACGAAAACAATGCGTTCGTTTCTGCCGTGAACGCATACTGAGCGACGTGGTTCTATATTTGGCGCTTCTCTTACACATGCTTTGTACAAATGTTATACAGTTCATCTTATAGAAAATTTTATTGCGAACACATTGGTATAAAAAGGAAATACGTACATAGAAAAGTAGGGTCAGGAAACGTATAAACTTTCCAAGCATGATTTCCCCCCTGTGTTTTCGCCAGTGCGCTCGCGGCTAACTACTCTCCACTTCACACACTCTTGCGGGTGGGCAATTACCTATATTAAACATTCATATGCATATGTCCGTGTAGAGAATTTTATTGCGATTCCAATGATACCAAAATTAGCGATGTAGGACAACTGTAGGCTTCGCAACCATTAAGAGAGTGGAAACATTTTGTTGCTGTTTGGCGCTCTCGGCGAGTGATCTGCATAGTTTTTTATTTGGTGTTGATACTCCTTATGCTTGGGCGGCATTTTATAGGTATGCTCTTATAGACAATTTCATTGCAAACACAGTGATACCAAATTTAAATACGTGCGCCTTCAATTATTGTCAGGACAGTCAAAAGAGTGTACACTTTTTCGGTCTTACCGCGTAGGCACGCGAAGTGCCGAAAGCATCTGGGGTATTGTTTTTTTTTGAGCACCGAGAGCGCGAAAGTGTTAAGAAGCACATAAACAAACTGGAAAAGGTGCAAAGACATGCTACTAAGTGGCTCCCAGAACTGAAGGGTAAGAGCTACGAGGAGAGGTTAGAAGCATTAAACATGCCAAAACTAGAAGACAGAAGAAAAAGAGGTGATATGATCACTACATACAAAATAGTAACAGGAATTGATAAAATCGACAGGGAAGATTTCCTGAGACCTGGCACTTCAAGAACAAGAGGTCATAGATTTCAACTAGCTAAACACAGATGCCGAAGAAATATAAGAAAATTCACCTTCGCAAATAGAGTGGTAGACGGTTGGAACAAGTTAAGTGAGAAGGTGGTGGAGGCCAAGACCGTCAGTAGTTTCAAAGCGTTATATGACAAAGAGTGCTGGGAAGACGGGACACCACGAGCGTAGCTCTCATCCTGTAACTACACTTAGGTAATTACACTTAGGTAATTACAGCCTGAAGCACAACAAAAGCCAAGCCCACACAAGAAGCTGAAGAGAAAACATGCACTTAAGTTAATATTAAACTAAAGAACACAACAAGAAGCAAACGGCCCCAGCAGAACAATTGAAGTTCAAGGATGGCCAGCACTTAGTTTGAAGCAGCGAGGCTTGCCTCTGACTGGCAGACTGGAGCACTACTGGTACAACCTGTCCTCCTAAGGTTTACCGACATCAAGAAAATGGTGAATTTACAGTGTTATCTCCTAATCTAATAGAGGACCCAAAGCAGAAAATGGGGAGGTACGTCACTTTCGGAGCCGCTTCCATTTTCTAGTACGAAAATTTTTGGCTTTATGTAACGCATACGAGCGAAAAACGACGTTCTTTGTAGGAGGACAGGTTATCTTGAGGTTATCTTGAGATGATTTCGGGGCTTTAGTGTCCCTGCGGCCCAGTCCTCGACCAGGCCTCCACTCCCAGGAAGCAGCCCGTGACAGCTGACTAACACCAGGTACCTATTTTACTGCTAGGTAACAGGGGCATAGGGTGAAAGAAACTCTGCCCATTGTTTCTCGCCGGCGCCTGGGATCAAATCCGGGACCACAGGATCACAAGTGCAGCGTGCTGTCCGCTCGGCCGACCGGCTCCCTCCCTGGTAGCAGGTTGACTGGTAGCAGTTGCCACCATAATATCAGTAACAGAACTGAGTAGAAGAGTCAGCTAATGGCAGTGACCGGGCCACCTGGTGGTGCTGATCGGTACTAACAAGTTACGAGCTAGTTTGAGTGAATCCCTTGTTCTGGGTGAATCATTTGCAGAGCTGCTTGGTGGTTTTGAGGTGTCCTTTTTATGTGAAACCTCCAGTTGTCTGTAAAGCTTCACTGACTTTCTGAATGTTTTCCTAGTGGGTGGTGAATAGTCACTCGCTTTCTGCACCTCTGTTAGGGAGGGCCAGATTCTGGCTCTGGTTCCTGGTAGGTGAATCAGAACATCTGCAACTGATGTGATATGAGATTTAAGATGAACAATCTCAGCAAGATAGTTTCAGGGGGCTATGCAGGGGTCTGTCCCATAAAATACACATAAGAACACATTACAGTGGTGAATTAGTAGCAACATAATTTGTATTATCTCAGTGACAGACATCATTATGTAGCCATCAATAACATAACCTCTCCCACTCTATCATTAACAGTAGGGGTGCCACAGGGCAGCATCTTAGGACCTCTCCTATTTCTTATATACATCAATGATTTGCCAAATGTTTCTAATATTCTTAAATCTATACTATTTGCTGACAATACTACCTTCATCTACTCTGACCTCAACCCACACACAATAAATAATATTGTCAATAATGAATTAAAAAAAGTTCACTCATGGATGTCAACCAACAACCTCACAATAAACATAGAAAAGACTTACTACATTTTGCTTGGTAAGTAAATCATTAAACCAAATTCACCTTCAGATTGACAATGTTAATGTTACGAATAAAAATGAGGGAAAGTTCCTTGGCCTATACATAGACAAGAGACTGAGCTACAGCACCCATGTACAACACAAAAAGAGTCTAAAAAACGGTCAGTATACTCTCTAAAATCAGATATGTTCCACACTCTGCTCTCCTCTCATTATACTACACACTAATCTATCTCTATCATAGTATCTGTACATGGGGTTCAACCACTGCAAATTACCTCAAGCCCATCATCACTCAGCAAAATCTGCTACAGGGTATCACAACTATAACAAACTCTGTCGTCAGACAACACACAGCCACTCTGTGTAAGTCCCTTAACATGCTAAACATACACTCACTCCACACATTCTCATATGCTATTGACATGTACAAAACCTTGTTCCTAAATGCTAATCTTGATCTGAACCTTTTCCTTGATAGGTGTAATAGAACCCATGAGCACCACACTAGAAATAAATATTTCTTTGATATTCCCAGAGTCAGACTAAATCTGTGCAATCACTCCATGTAAATAAAAGGACCCAGTCTTTGGAACTCACTCCCGGACAGATTAAAAAAATCCAACCTATGCCCCATTCAAAAGAAAAAAACAAAAAGTACCTAATTTCACTCTCATAGTTTCCTACCTTGTGCTTCAAACCTCACATTGTATCTCGTACTACCCACTTCCATAATATTAGTATATAAGACATAGATAGTATCTTTACTAGTGTAAATCACCTCTGTCAATCTATATTCTAGTTATTTGATATAAAACTTGTTGATAATAATTAGTTGATAAATAAATCAATAAATTTTATTTATTTATTTACAACAATAAAATTGGTTGATTTATTTACTACAATAAAATTTGTTGATATTGTGGTCCCTATGGCACAGTGGTAAAGCACTCGCCTGGCACTTCATCGAGCGCTTTGGCCTGGGTTCGTATACTGGCCGGGGAGGATTGACCGGGTGCCAATCCTTAACTGTAGCCTATGTTCATCTAGCAGTGAATGGGTACCTGGTTGTTAAATTATTTGATGGGTCGTATTCCGGGGAAAATTTGGAATAAGGACTGGCCTGAAATGCTATGCATACTAGTGGCTTTACAAGAATGTAAGAACTCTTGTACAGTATATATAAATAAAAAATAACAAAATTATGTAGAGTTAATGATCCGCAAAGCATTTTGGGTGCATGTTTTAAAAGTAGCACATCTGGCACTCTTACCTGTCCATCTGTAATATGACGGACACTTATTTTCAAAAACTTCTCAAGGCATTCACGGTCCAAAGATTTCTCAAGTTCTACAGAATTGGCTGGTGTCCGAGGACACGTATAGAGTGATACTGGGGTCTTGAGGTCGCCTCGCAGTGGTGAAGGAGGTCGCATCTGTGCCAGTAGGTCTGAAAAATAAATACAAGAGTTTCTTCAGGCAGGTGATAAAGGTTCTTCAACCGTGAAGAACCAATATTACCTGTTTGAAGAACTAAGGTTCTTTAAGCAAGATATAAAGAATCTTCGTGCAGATTAGAAAGGTTCAAGCAGAATAAAAGATTTTCAAGAAGGGAATAAAGGATCTTCAAACAGGTAATAAAGGTTCAACAAACAGATGATAATAAAGGTGTGTCAAGCACATATTAAAGGTTCATCAAGCAAATAATAAAGATTTGTCAAACAGATAATGAAGGACTGTCAAGCATATATTAAAGGGTCGTCAAGCAGGCAATAAAGGTTCATCAAGAAGGTAACAAATAAAGAGTTGAAATAATAATAATAATAAAGAGTTGTCAAGCAGATAATAAAGATTCATCAAACAGATAATAAAGGTTCTTCAAACAAGTAATAAAGATTTGTCACACAGAAAGTAAAGGTTTAAACATCTCTAACACTAACAAGTTCAATAATCAAGTCCCTTTAGGACAGTGATACTGTATATACATGAAGAGGCAGAGCCCAATTGTCTATACAATGAGAAGTGGGGTACACCTCTCACTGAATATACATAAAGAAGCAGAATGCACCTGTGTACCACCAGTCATGAGGAACCTGTGTACCACCAGTCATGAGGAACCTGTGTACCACCAGTCATGAGGAACCTGTGTACCACCAGTCATGAGGAACCTGTGTACCACCAGTCATGGGAACTTGGGTACTATCAGTCATGAGGAACTTGTGTACCATCAGTCATGAGGAACTTGTGTACCACCAGTCATGAGGAACTTGGGTACTATCAGTCATGAGGAACTTGGGTACTATCAGTCATGGGAACTTGGGTAACATCAGTCATGGGAACTTGGGTACCATCAGTCATGGGAACTTGGGTACTATCAGTCATGAGGAACTTGTGTACCATCAGTCATGAGGAACTTGTGTACCACCAGTCATGAGGAACTTGGGTACTATCAGTCATGAGGAACTTGGGTACCATCAGTCATGAGGAACTTGTGTACCACCAGTCATGAGGAACTTGGGTACTATCAGTCATGAGGAACTTGGGTACTATCAGTCATGGGAACTTGGGTAACATCAGTCATGGGAACTTGGGTACCATCAGTCATGGGAACTTGGGTACTATCAGTCATGAGGAACTTGGGTACTATCAGTCATGGGGAACTTGGGTAACATCAGTCATGAGGAACTTGGGTAACATCAGTCATGGGAACTTGGGTACTATCAGTCATGAGGAACTTGGGTACTATCAGTCATGGGGAACTTGGGTAACATCAGTCATGGGAACTTGGGTACTATCAGTCATGAGGAACTTGGGTAACATCAGTCATGGGAACTTGGGTACTATCAGTCATGAGGAACTTGGGTAACATCAGTCATGGGAACTTGGGTAACATCAGTCAAGGGAACTTGGGTACTATCAGTCATGTGGAACTTGGGTAACATCAGTCATGGGAACTTGGGTAACATCAGTCAAGGGGAACTTGGGTACTATCAGTCATGGGGAACTTGGGTACTATCAGTCATGGGGAACTTGGGTACTATCAGTCATGGGGAACTTGGGTACTATCAGTCATGGGAACTTGGGTACTATCAGTCATGGGAACTTGGGTAACATCAGTCATGAGGAACTTGGGTAACATCAGTCATGGGAACTTGGGTAACATCAGTCAAGGGGAACTTGGGTACTATCAGTCATGGGGAACTTGGGTACTATCAGTCATGGGGAACTTGGGTACTATCAGTCATGGGGAACTTGGGTACTATCAGTCATGGGAACTTGGGTACTATCAGTCATGGGAACTTGGGTACCATCAGTCATGGGGAACTTGGGTACCATCAGTCATGGGGAACTTGGGTACTATCAGTCATGAGGAACTTGGGTACCATCAGTCATGAGGAACTTGGGTAACATCAGTCATGGGGAACTTGGGTACTATCAGTCATGGGGAACTTGGGTACTATCAGTCATGGGGAACTTGGGTACTATCAGTCATGAGGAACTTGGGTACTATCAGTCATGAGGAACTTGGGTAACATCAGTCATGGGGAACTTGGGTACTATCAGTCATGGGGAACTTGGGTACTATCAGTCATGAGGAACTTGGGTACCATCAGTCATGGGGAACTTGGGTACCATCAGTCATGGGGAACTTGGGTACTATCAGTCATGAGGAACTTGGGTAACATCAGTCATGGGAACTTGGGTACTATCAGTCATGAGGAACTTGGGTACCATCAGTCATGGGGAACTTGGGTACTATCAGTCATGAGGAACTTGGGTAACATCAGTCATGGGAACTTGGGTACTATCAGTCATGAGGAACTTGGGTAACATTAGTCATGGGAACTTGGGTACTATCAGTCATGGGGAACTTGGGTACTATCAGTCATGGGGAACTTGGGTACTATCAGTCATGGGGAACTTGGGTACTATCAGTCATGAGGAACTTGGGTAACATCAGTCATGGGGAACTTGGGTACTATCAGTCATGAGGAACTTGGGTAACATCAGTCATGGGGAACTTGGGTACTATCAGTCATGGGGAACTTGGGTACTATCAGTCATGAGGAACTTGGGTAACATCAGTCAAGGGGAACTTGGGTACTATCAGTCATGGGGAACTTGGGTACCATCAGTCATGGGGAACTTGGGTACTATCAGTCATGGGGAACTTGGGTACTATCAGTCATGAGGAACTTGGGTAACATCAGTCATGGGGAACTTGGGTACTATCAGTCATGGGGAACTTGGGTACTATCAGTCATGGGGAACTTGGGTACCATCAGTCATGGGGAACTTGGGTACTATCAGTCATGGGGAACTTGGGTACTATCAGTCATGAGGAACTTGGGTAACATCAGTCATGGGAACTTGGGTACTATCAGTCATGGGGAACTTGGGTACTATCAGTCATGGGGAACTTGGGTACTATCAGTCATGGGGAACTTGGGTACTATCAGTCATGAGGAACTTGGGTAACATCAGTCATGGGGAACTTGGGTACTATCAGTCATGGGGAACTTGGGTACTATCAGTCATGAGGAACTTGGGTAACATCAGTCAAGGGGAACTTGGGTACTATCAGTCATGGGGAACTTGGGTACCATCAGTCATGGGGAACTTGGGTACTATCAGTCATGGGGAACTTGGGTACTATCAGTCATGAGGAACTTGGGTAACATCAGTCATGGGGAACTTGGGTACTATCAGTCATGGGGAACTTGGGTACTATCAGTCATGAGGAACTTGGGTACTATCAGTCATGGGGAACTTGGGTAACATCAGTCATGGGAACTTGGGTACTATCAGTCATGAGGAACTTGGGTACTATCAGTCATGAGGAACTTGGGTACCATCAGTCATGGGGAACTTGGGTACTATCAGTCATGAGGAACTTGGGTACTATCAGTCATGGGAACTTGGGTACTATCAGTCATGGGGAACTTGGGTACCATCAGTTATGAGGAACTTGGGTACCATCAGTCATGGGGAACTTGGGTACTATCAGTCATGAGGAACTTGGGTAACATCAGTCATGGGGAACTTGGGTACCATCAGTCATGGGGAACTTGGGTACTATCAGTCATGGGGAACTTGGGTACCATCAGTCATGGGGAACTTGGGTACTATCAGTCATGGGGAACTTGGGTACTATCAGTCATGAGGAACTTGGGTAACATCAGTCATGGGGAACTTGGGTACTATCAGTCATGGGGAACTTGGGTACTATCAGTCATGGGGAACTTGGGTACTATCAGTCATGAGGAACTTGGGTACCATCAGTTATGAGGAACTTGGGTAACATCAGTCATGGGGAACTTGGGTAACATCAGTCATGGGAACTTGGGTACTATCAGTCATGAGGAACTTGGGTAACATCAGTCATGGGGAACTTGGGTACTATCAGTCATGAGGAACTTGGGTACTATCAGTCATGAGGAACTTGGGTAACATCAGTCATGGGGAACTTGGGTACTATCAGTCATGGGGAACTTGGGTACCATCAGTCATGGGGAACTTGGGTACCATCAGTCATGGGGAACTTGGGTACTATCAGTCATGAGGAACTTGGGTACCATCAGTCATGGGGAACTTGGGTACCATCAGTTATGAGGAACTTGGGTACCATCAGTCATGGGGAACTTGGGTACCATCAGTCATGGGGAACTTGGGTACCATCAGTTATGAGGAACTTGGGTAACATCAGTCATGAGGAACTTGGGTACCATCAGTCATGGGGAACTTGGGTACCATCAGTCATGGGGAACTTGGGTACCATCAGTCATGGGGAACTTGGGTACCATCAGTCATGGGGAACTTGGGTACCATCAGTCATGGGGAACTTGGGTACCATCAGTTATGAGGAACTTGGGTACTATCAGTCATGGGGAACTTGGGTACTATCAGTCATGGGGAACTTGGGTACTATCAGTTATGAGGAACTTGGGTAACATCAGTCATGGGGAACTTGGGTACTATCAGTCATGGGGAACTTGGGTACTATCAGTTATGAGGAACTTGGGTAACATCAGTCATGAGGAACTTGGGTACTATCAGTCATGGGGAACTTGGGTACTATCAGTCATGGGGAACTTGGGTACTATCAGTCATGGGGAACTTGGGTACTATCAGTCATGGGGAACTTGGGTACTATCAGTTATGAGGAACTTGGGTAACATCAGTCATGAGGAACTTGGGTACTATCAGTCATGGGGAACTTGGGTACTATCAGTCATGGGGAACTTGGGTACTATCAGTCATGGGGAACTTGGGTACTATCAGTCATGGGGAACTTGGGTACTATCAGTTATGAGGAACTTGGGTAACATCAGTCATGAGGAACTTGGGTACCATCAGTCATGGGGAACTTGGGTACTATCAGTTATGAGGAACTTGGGTAACATCAGTCATGGGGAACTTGGGTACTATCAGTCATGGGGAACTTGGGTA